TGGTACAGTCTACTTGGGGGGGGGGGGGCTGTACCATCTAGAATGCCCTTGCTCGGTTGCAAGGGGGGGAGGTCTTAACCCAATGGGAAACAGGTGATGAAATTTGACAATGCTTGATGGAACCAATAATTCTGTTTTATTTCTCTGATGTAATGTGAAGTATAAAACCCTATGTCTCCCACTGTAACCTTAGGGAGAGCTGCGGGGTCCAAAATCTTGTTGGGCCCGTGCGTCCCCTCCTTTATTAATAAAGTTTTAGTTTAGATTCTGCTCTACAGGACTGCTTGCTTTTGTGTGTTTTCTCAAATTGGCCTGGGCAAACACAATCAGGGACAGAGGTTCTGTCTTACAGGAGGAAAGGAGGCTGTTTTAAAGCCCCCTCCGTGTCAAAAAATCTCACGGCGCATGTCAAGCAGAAGCAGCCAAGTTCGTGGAAGAGAGCAAATTATTCAGGATGGCGAAAACCAAAGCGGACTGTGGCGAGGATCTCTCTAATTGAGGGAGTGGACAACCATGTGGCAATTTGAGTGTAAACTGGACAAAAACCCTAACATTAAATATCCACTGACGAGGCCTGATGTAAAGTTGTCAGGTTGCCCTGGCAACCAACAGGGGGCAGGGGAGACGCCAGGTAGGTGGGGACCCTCACTGGTGACGCGCTGAGATTGCTTCCTGTGTACACTGGAAGTGATGTCATCATGTCGCCAGCAGAACTCTATGGTTTGACCACAGTAAAGGTAAAAGGCAAAGGTTTCCCGTGCTCGAAAAGCCAGTCGAATCCGACACCTGGGGGCAGTGCTCATCTCCGTTTCCAAGCTGAAGAGCCAGCGCTGTCCAAAGACGTTTTGGTGGCCACGTGGCCGGCGTGACTAAACGCCGAGGCACACGAAACGCTGCTACCTTCCCACCGAAGCGGGTCCTATTTATCTACTTGCAGTTTCTTGCTTGTTTTTATTTTTAAATTATTAAAAGAAGCAAAGCAGCATAACAGCAATTTCATACAAGTCATAAAAATCTATCATTACAGCAAGTGGTAAACTAAACAAAAACCTTATACACCCCTCTGATCCCAACAGGTTTACCTTTCTTGCAACCCTCCAGAGGTCATTTCAGGGGGGATCGCAGTTCCCCCGGTTGAGGTACGGGGGGCGGGGCACATGATGAAGCCCTGCCCCCCGCTTCCGGCTGCCCCGCTTCCGGCCCTCATTCAGCCAAGAGGAGGCAGGAGAAGAGAGAGGGTAAGTTGCTTCCTCCCTGCCTCTCCCCACCCCTGCCTGCCTGGGGCCAGGGAGGGCCTTCGCGGGGCTTCCTTGCACTCCCGCCGGCCTTGCAGGTCCACCGACGGGCCCCTCATGGAGGAGCTGCAAGGCCGGCGGTGGCGGCCGGGACCGTTGGGGGCGGGGGGTGTGGCCTTATGACACACTTCCGGTGATGTCAGGGGGTGTGGCATATGCTAATGAGTTATGCTAATGAGTTCCCCTAGCTCTTTTTCTACGAAACGACCCCTGCAACCCTCTAATCTACGAACTAGTGAATGAAGCAACAAAACTGTCTTCCATAATGGTGATCAAGCCAATGTACTATATCCTGTAATCTTGGTTAAAAATAAAACTAAAAGTGTATCCATGGGATATAAGCGACATTTGAAGGAAGTATATTCTTTTCTGACATATACTGAAGCACTGTATACCAAATTGCAACAAATCGCTTGTATGCTTTTGACCTATCTGCTACTGTAACTTGAGTGACCTGTGTCAGCTTATCTAAAATAAATAAATCCCATGTTTTGTCATACCAAGTTTGTATCTGGGGAGGAGAGTTCTTTTTCCATCCTGCCGCTATGGTTGGACGAGCTGCCGCCAAAAGTTTCGATATAAGCTCTTTCTGGGCCCTAGTTGCCGTGACTGCCACCAGTCTATCAAAGAGCACCAATTTAGGACAAGCTGGTAGTTCTAGCTTTTCTAGTTTCTTGCTTTTGATTTGCTAAGTTGGCAGGAGCTGGGGCCAGAGGCGGGAGCTCACTCCGTCACGCGGCACTCGGGTCTCGAACTGCCGAGCTACCGACCTTCCGGTCTGCAGCTCAGCGTCCTAACCTCTGAGCCACCGCGGTCCTCTTAACCATAGAGTTCTGCCCAAATGGCAGAGCATCCATGGTGTCCCCCAATGATGCGCTGATGTCAACTCCAGGTGCACGGGGAGTGACCCCAGCGTGTCAGGATGCTGCGGACGCCCCCCTCCCCATTTTAGCACCATCCCCCCCCCATCGTTTCATCAGCCGAGATTGGAGTCCGTAGACTGAACAAGTCACACTTACCAGTTCCACCACCATCTCTTGGCGCAGGAACTTCCGCAGCGGAGCCTGAAGCTGTAGAGGGAGAGGAGACAGTTAGAGATGCCACTAAAGGCTCGACTGGGGCCGTAGCATTCACTGCTAAATTCCTACAACCACGGCCTCAACACAATCCCTCCAGGCAAGGGTCGCCAACCTCCAGGCGGGGCCTGGAGATGTCCCGGAATTACAAATGATCTCCAGCCAACAGAGATCAGTTCCCCTGGAGAAAATGGCTACTCTGAGGGGTGGTGGTGGAGATTGTGTGGCATTATACCCTGCTGATCTCTCCCCCCTCCCCAAACCCCACTAAGGTTGCCAAGTGTACTTACCCTTGGCAGCGGGGGAGCTCACGTTGGGGGCCCCCAACGTGAGCGACGTGGCTGCGTCACCTCTGTTGACGCAGCTTCGGAGGCCGAGTTCCCCCTGGGGCCCGATTCCACCACGGCGGAAATCGGGCCTCCAAAGCGGGGGTTTCCCCGCCCCTCCGCCCCCACTTGGCAGCCCTAAACCTCACCCTCCCCAGGCTCTACCCCAACTCGCCGTGAGCGCTAAAATGGTGGTACTGCGTGGAGCTGTGGCCACTAAAGATACCATCCCGATGATGTCATTGGTTCCCTTGTTAGTTATTGCGGAGATCACCTATATTATATTGAATGTTTTTAAAATGCAAGTTTTAATGTTTTATGTATTGGGCATTGGCCCCATCTGTATGCCGCCCTGAGCCCATTCGCGGGGAGGGCGGGTTATAAATTTAAATAAATAAATAAATAAATAAATAAATACCCCGAAATCTGCAGGAATTTCCCGAGCTACAGTTGGGAACCCTGCTTCAGGCCTGGTACAATATATTTTTTTTCCTTTGAGCTTCGCAACACTTGCCCTGGGATCCCATCCCAACCTTGTGTGTCATGAAAAAAACACCTGTTTTAGTCCTGACTCCTGACATGATATGAAGGAGGAGGAGGAGGAGATTGGATTTACACCCCGCCCTTCACTACCCGAAGGAGTCTCAGAGCAGCTTACAGACTCTTTTCCCTTCCCCTCCCCACAACAGACACCCTGTGAGGTAAAAGAAGAAGAGGAGGAGATTGGATTCACACCCCGCCCTTCACTACCCAAGGGAGTCTCAGAGCAGCTTACAGACTCCTTTCCCTTCCCCTCCCCTGGAGAAAACGGCTACTCTGGAGGAGGAGGGAACTGTATGGCATTACATCAGAGGTTCCCAAACTTATTTGGCCTACCACCCCCTTTTCAGAAAAAAAATTACTCAACGCGCCCCTGGAAATCTACCTTCAAGAAGTGGGAAAAAAGATACAGGACTTAACTTACAATGACCCTGCCCACTTTCTTATAAGTGCCAAGAGAAGTGCTGGCGCCATGTTGGGTAACCCTGCACTGGAGTATCGTGTGAGATCCACTGTATCCACCAGAGGATAAGGAGATGCACTGCATTCACTGGAATGCAGAAAGAGGGACACGCATATCTACACTTCAAAGTGCCAAATTGTGTGTGTCCCACTTCCAAAGCAAAGTTGTAGCCTCTGCCTCTCTTTGCACCCAGCAATTTACTCCAGCCGACAGCGGGGCAAAACGCACCTGTCACAATCACGGGCACATAGTCAAAAACGAAGAAACACATAGAGCCACAAGCAATGCTCCCTCTAAGCCGTGGAGTCTCGCGAGGAAAAATTCTACTTTGTGAGCTACCGACATTAAAGTTGTGAGCCAACAATTTGGCTAGAAGAGAAGAAGAGAAGAGACTAGATTTATACCCCACCCTTCACTACCCAAAGGAGTCTCAGAGCGGCTTACAAGCTCCTTTCCCTTCCCCTCCCCATAACAGACACCCTGTGAGGTAGAAGAAGAAGAAGAAGAGATTGGATTTATACACCGCCCTTCACTCCCCAAGCTCCTTTCCCTTCCCCTCCCCACAACAGACACCCTGTGAGGTGGGCGGGGCTGAGAGAGCTCTGACAGAAACGGCTCTTTTTCAAGAACAGCTCTGAAAGAACTTGTAACTGACCCAAGGTCATCCAGCAGGTGCAAGCGGAGGAGTGGGGAATCAAACCTGGATCTCCCAGATTAGAGTCCGCGCACTTAACCACTACACCAGACTGGCTCTCACACCAAGCCGGCTCTCCCCAAACTGCATAAATTATTTTTCTCCTGAGCGAAGACAAAAACATGTGAGCCGGAGGCTAAAGAACTGTGAGCTAGCTCACACTAACTCAGCTTAGAGGGAAAACTGGCCACAGGTCATAAATCTAGTGTGAGGAAGGCAGCCGTATTGGTCAAGCACGATTCGAGTCCACCACTGCCCTTAGAGACCAACAACGTTTTCGGGTAGAAGCTCTTGGGAGTCAACGTTCCCTTTTCATAGATCGGTTGACAAAGGTTTGTGCGCGGCGCACGCATGCACAAAGCGAGGTCAGGCGGCACAAGCCAAGGTCTCAGGCAGGTAGCTTAGGAGATGAACCTACGTCCTCCATCCCTTCTATGTGCGACTCGATCTCCTGCACGATCCGGGCGTTCCGCTCCACCTCCTCGGCGCTCTTCATCCCCTTGTTGATCCGCTCAGCCACCTGCTTGATGCTCCGTTGGGCTTCCATCAAGAACGGGTGGTCGGGGTGCTCCTCTGGCGTGTGTTTCAGGAGGTCCTGTGGGGAGAAAAGCAGGAATGAGATCATCGGGGGTGTATGCTGGGAACGGATCAAAGGAAGTCCTTCTTCACCCAAAGAGTGATTAACACCTGGAATTCACTGCCACAGAAAGTGGTGGCAGCTACAAGCATGGACGGCTTCAAAAGGGAATTAGATAGGCATATGGAGCAGAGGTCCATCGGTGGCTATATGCCACAAGGTATAGATAGGGACTCTGGGGCAAGTGATGCTCTGTCATCTTGGTGCTTGGGGGGGGGTCAACAGTGGGAAAGCCTCTAATGTCCTGGCCCCACTGGTCTTAGATCTTTGCCAACAGCCTGAACAGGTAGAGAAAGAGGTACTCTTCTCCCTTTCTCACAATACAAGAACTCGTGGGCACTCCATGAAATTGCTGAGCGGTCGGGTTAGAACGGATAAAAGCAAGTACTTCTTCACCCAAAGAGTGATTAACACATGGAATTCACTGCCACAGGAAGTGGTGGCGGCTACAAGCATGGACGGCTTCAAAAGGGAATTAGATAGGCATATGGAGCAGAGGTCCATCAGTGGCTATTAGCCACAAGGTATGGATAGGGACTCTGGGGCAAGTGATGCTCTGTCATCTTGGTGCTTGGGGGGGGGTCAACAGTGGGAAAGCCTCTAATGTCCTGGCCCCACTGGTGGACCTCCTGATGGCACCTGGTATTTCTGGCCACCGTGTGACACAGAGTGTTGGGCTGGATGGGCCTTTGGCCTGATCCAACATTGGCGTCTCTTATGTTCTTATGAACTGCACAAGGGACAGCTATTGTGATGCGGGGTTGGGGCCACGGCTCGGTGGTAGAGCCTCTGCTCGGCATGCAGAAGGTCCCAGGTTCAATGCCTGACATCTCCAGTAAAAAGAAGGCGCTGGTAACAGGTGACGAATGCTCCCTCTGAGCGGTGGAGTCTTGTGAGCAAAAATTCTACTTTGTGAGCTACTGGCATTAAAAGTTGTGAGCGAGTCATTCGGCTGCTGCATAAATTAGTTTGCTCTGGAGTCCTCCCTCCTGAGCAAAGACAAAAAATTGTGAGCCAGAGGCTAAAAAACTGTGAGCTAGCTCACACTAACTCAGCTTAGAGGGAACACTGTGGAGAGCTGCTGCCAGTTCGAGTAGAACAAAACAAAGAAGTGAGAGAGTCACAGGAAAGAAACTGACCAATCTAACAAACACCGTGATAAATATTACGAATATCCTAAATAGAATTACGAAGATTTTATATCAATATTTGCGAAGATGTTATCAACACAAGGTACAAATATATCAATCCAAATAATATTTCAAATTCATGGGAAGGTGTTAGCTGCCGAGTGTGACTTCTGTGGTATGGCAAGATCAAAAGAGAAAAGATCTGTTTCGGCATCCCTGCAGTGGAGCGAGTCGGCCAGGCGGTGGCAGCGCGACACCAAGAAGCCCTGACGTCATCAGCCAGCCGACAAGAATACATGCCGTCGGAACACGACCGATCCAGCCCGCAGATGAATCCTCTGGCCAGCTACAATGTGTGTGTAATTAAAAATACTGTATGTTGTCTTCCCTATCCCCCATGAGTATTGTTAGTCCAAATGTCATGAGTAACTGTAAATCGCTCTGAGCCCACAGGTGTGTGGGGGAAAGCGATCAAGAAATCGAAAGTATTATTATTTATTTTATTTATGTTCCAAAAAGACATACAGTACAATATTTGGAATATTATTTGGATTGATATATTTGCACCTTGTTTTTTAAACGTCTTTGCAAATATTGATATAAAATTGATCTAGAATCTTCGTCATTCTGCTTAGAATATGCGTAATATCTACCACAGTGTTTGTTAGCTTTGTCGGCCAGCTTGAGTAGGTCATACTGACCTGGAGAGAACAAAACAAAGAAATGAGAGAGTCACGGGAAAGAAACCAACAAAGCTAACAAACACCATGATAAATATTACGAATGTCCTGAACAGAATTACAAAGATTTTCTCTCTGGAAAAATGTTTGCAAAACATGGTGCAATATATCAGTCCAAATAATATTCCAAATACTGTACTGTATGTCTTTTTGAAACATGTCTTTGAAATATTATTTGGATTGATATATTTTTGCCTTGTTTTGTAAACCTCTTTGCAAATCTTGACATAAAATCTTTGTAATTCTATTTTGGATATTCGTAATATTTGTTAGCTTTGTCAGCCAGGCTGAGTAGGCCATACTGACCTTGACGGACCAAGGGTCTGATTTATCATAGGTGACATGGAAGACCTTTGCCGGAGACCCTGGCAAGCCACTGCCAACCTGAATTGACCATATTTACCTTGATGAGTCAAGGGTCTGATTCATCATAGGTGATGCGGAAGACCTCTTTACCTAAGACCCCAGAGCAGGGGTGTCAAACATGCGGCCCGGGGGCCGGAAAAGGCCCCCAGAGGGCTTCTATCAGGCCCGCAAGGGACTGGCTGCCTCCTGCTTCTTCCTCCAGTTCTGCTGCTGCGTCATAGCTTGCTTTCCCAGACTCTCTCAATCGCTCAGGAGAGATAGATAGGCGAGCTGTAAGTGTCAGTTATCAGAGACTGTTAAATAAACACAATATTGCAAGAGTGCTAATGTTTCAAGCATGTTTTTATTTTAAGTTAAAAAAAAATCTTTGCGTTTGTGTCCTTTATAAAGTTCATATCTCTGCTACCTGGCATTACCTTTTATAACACACATCGCCCGGCCTGACAAAGTCCAATTTATGTCAAATCTGGCCCTTCGTAAGAAATGAGTTCGACACCCCTGCCCTAGAGAGCCACTTCCAATCGGAGCAGAACATACTGACCTTGACGGGCCGAGGGTTTAATTCAGCATAGGTGATGTGGAAGACATAGAATCATAGAATGACAGAATTGGAAGGGGCCCTAGAGGCCATCTAGTCCAACCCCCTGCTCCATGCAGGATCAGCCTACAGTACCCCTGACAAGGGTTTGTACAGCTGGTGCTTAAAGACTGCCAGGGAGAGGGAGCTCACCACCCCTCTAGCTCACGTCTCTCTGAGCCTTTGGAGAACCACTGCTGGTCTGAGCAGGAGACCCTCTCATTCCAGCAGGACCAGGGGTCATTTCACTCCGGCAGTAAAGAGCCCAGGGGGCGGGCACGTGCAACAAGCCCCGTCCCCTGCTCCCAGCAGCCCTCAGTCAGAGCAAGAAGCAGCCAGGTAAGCTGCAGAGCCCCCCCGGTCCAAAACAGTCCAGTGGCACCTTTAAGACCAAGTTTTATTCAGGTACAAGCTCTCCCTCCTCAGCGAGGACAGATCTTCATGTCCCCCCCCCCAATAGCTAGCAATCCAAAACAGTCCAGTGGAGCCTGAGCGGTGGGTGTTGCCTTCTGACACTTCCGGTGATCTCAGGGGGTGTGGCATATGCAAATAAGTTATGCTAATGAGTTATGCTAATGAGCTCCTGTACCTCTTTTTCTACGAAATGATCCCTGAGAAGGACTATTTCCTGTTCTCTACAATCCCTGAGAAGGACTATTTCCTGTTCTCTACAATGCTCCCCCTAAGCTATGGAGTCTTGTGAGCAAAGATTCTACTCTGTGAGCTGCTGGCGTTAAAGTTGTGAGCGAGCGATTTGGCTACTGCATAATTCAGTTTGCTCTGGAGCCCTCCTTCCTGAGCTGAGACAAAAAAATCTGTGAGCCGGCAGCTACAAAACTGTGAGCTAGTTCACACTAACTCAGCCTGGAGGGAACATTGGTGCGGACTGCCTGATTCTGATGAACCGATTGTAAATGGTCATCCGTGCTTAGTGTGTGCATGTGCGGGTATTATTATTACATAACACGTGAACTATGATGATCAATTAAAAATATATAAGGGAGAGTGATTTGGGTCTGTTAGAAAACAAGCCTTCTTCCCCCCACCCCTCCCCAGGGAGTAAAACCTGATAATTAACCTTTGATAAATAGGCACGGAGAGAAGAGGACGTAATTAATTAACCTGAAAAGAACACAAAGGAAATGGTGGAGAGGAGACATGGGAATTCTGCTGAGCGGGGTTTTCTTCCAAGCTATATATAGCAGGGTCTTGCCTACTGGGACAGATTTCAATGGGGAATACAGGGCGGCTGTGTGAAACTCCCATTTCAGCCCAACTCGTCGCTCAGGTCCTAGTAGACAGCAGTGGGGGGGAGATCCAACGTCAAGGGGTCACTACAAAAAAGAGAGCCGTGGTGTGTCAGAGATTGAGATGCTGAGCTGTAGATCAGAAGGTCTGTAGCTTGGCAGTTCGAGACCCGAGTGCCGCGTGACGGAGTGAGCTCCCGTCTCTGGCCCCGGCTCCTGCCAACCAATGCTCCCTCTAAGCTGTGGAGTCTTGTGAGCAAAAATTCCACTTTGTGAGCGGCTGGCATGAAAGTTGGGAGCGAGCGATCTGGCTCCTGCATAAATTAGTTTGCTCTGGAGCCCTCCTTCCTGAGCAAAGACAAAAATGTGTGAGCTGGAGGCTAAAAAACGGTGAGCTAGCTCACACCAACCCAGCTTAGAGGGAACACTGCTGCCAACCTAGCAGTTCCAACGCAAGAAACTGCAAGTAGATAAACCGGTACCGCTTCGGTGGGAAGGTGACACCGTTCCGTGCGCCTCGGCATCTAGTCACGCCGGCCACATGATAATGGAGAAGTCTTCGGACAGCGCTAGCTCTTCGGCTTGGAAACGGAGATGAGCACCGCAACCCTAGAGTCGGACCCGACTGGCTTTCGAGCAAGGGAAACCTTTTTTTTTTAACAGAAAAGATGCCATCTCTAGTGGCCACCCGAGTTACTTTGGATGGTGAAGCCATATGGAGTGGGGACTCAGTAAATGATTTTAGCGGAAGCACAGGACTGAATGCGGCCAGGCACCCCTGGAAGTACCTGCGTCCCAGGCCATTTAGGGCTTTGAAGGGAAATGATCCATTGAGCCCGGAAGCAAACTGGCAGCCGGTGTAGCTCTTTCAAAGCTGGAAACAGTTTCCCCCGTCATT